AACTAAACTAAACTAAACTAAACTAAACTAAACTGAAGCTATTTTTGATATAGTACAGTTCTATTTTAGTGAGATAACGACAGCAGTTGGATTTTCAAGATATATTCAGCAGGAATAAATCATGAGCAGTAGGATCAGCTACTAGTAAGGAGCAATAGGATTAGCTAACTTGGTTTTCATGTATAGGCTTTTATGTACCCCAATACAGGATTAGCATGCATGGGAGGGGGGGGGGGGGTGCAACGCGTCCACATGACTAAAACAGGGGTTCTATTGGCATGCACATGTTGTGTATCATAGAATTGTCTTCWTGACAGTATCATAACTGTGAACTTGTATTAATGACAGTATAAATCTTTATATAATTGCATTGCTGTCTATTTACAAATGTGGCTGGTGGCAAGCAGCAAGGGTATACACAAAAACCTAAAAGCAACAGCTTGCAGCTTGCAGTTTGTCCTCCCCCCCCTGGCATGGTTCATTATGTGAATAAGAGTAATCTTGTAAGAGTACGGCTTAAACCAAGGCTAAAGAAACCAACCATTGCTGCTATTTTCACCATGGTGGGGGTCCCTGGTGCTGTTGTGAGTGGATTGATTGTTGTGTCAATTGCTGTTGTTGCATAGTGTATTGCAATTTGCAAGTGCAGTTTGCAAGTACAGTTGCAATTCACTGTGGCTAATTGATTAATCTCTCTTCTTTTCAACTAACCACAGCATCCAATCAACCATGGGATTCATCCTAAAAACACTCCATTTTCATTTGGGGACATCCCACAACCAACATGAAAGTATCCTTCTGCAAGATCATTCTTTTTGTACTACAGAACCTCATTGGTAGTTGCTGAAGGGGTCTTCATGAAGGTTGATAGGATTTGGTTGTGTCCTATGGTACTGCACTGGAAGTTGTACAAGAAGTTGATAACAAGGACATTGATGATGATTTTTCTGTCCCCACCTCTTCTAAAAACATTTTGTCTTTGATTTGCAGGAACTGTCCCTGGATCATCCTCATCCCCCATTTAAACATCTGTCTCAACAATGTGACATCCATGTTCAACAAGAGGAGGTTGTCATCTCTATTGGGATCCCTCTGTGAGCTCTTGATGAGGCTATTCTGGTAKTCATGTTTTAGAAACGTGGGTTATTTTTCACCATAAATAATCCATGATTCTAAAACATGGGTTATTTTTCACCAAAAATAACCCACGTTTTTCTAGGGGAGGAATTTGAAAAGGGGGGATGTGCACATGGGTACCGTAGGGCCCAGTTTTTTTTCATCTATTTTTGCGAAGTGAAGGAAGTTTCAATTAATCAAGAATAGAATCATGAGTGTAAATCAGAAGTAGGGAATCCATAGAGAACAAGAAACAAAAGAATTAATGAAAGTGTGCCRCCTACAAATTTTAAATGCTATTTGACACACAGAGATGCTCAATTGTTTCTCTACTACTTCATACTGTTCCTGCAATATGAATCTTGGGCTGCAACAGAAATGTTCCAGTATCATTATGTCACAGTGCTACTACTAGAAGTATGGTATGAATATTATGTCGGGCCACTTAGGTCTATTACTAAGACTACTTGTGGTGAAGTTCCATTAGTAATAATGGTGGTTACTGGAATTAGTACTAGTACTAATACTGGATAAGAAGGAACTTACTTCTAGTATGTGTGTTGACCACAGTGTAACATGGTAGTGCAGCTTCTACTGTTTACAACAAGAAGAAGCCATTCTTGTACTTCCATGCTGATAATGTTGTAGTGGTTACTACTCCTAAAATACCATGGATACTACCACTAGTAGTAGTATTAGCAATACTAATGGTGGTGGTGCTGTACTGCTGCTGCTGGTGGTGGTATTAGTAGTAGTACTAGACCACAGGATAGTACTACTTCTAGTAGCATATTCTCTGCTGGTAGTGGAAGGAGCTCTTCTAGTTCAAAAGGTAAAACATGCTTAGTTTAAGATTTTTTATTACTTAGATTCTGGCTTATTTGATAAGAATTTTAGAGATAATTTGTCCATATCAGCAAGCATTGGTACCTACTACTAGTATTACTGGTTGTTTAAATTCATGGTGGTAGTTAACTCCTTTSAGTATTATGAAGTACTAGATACTGCTGTTGTTTTGCGAGATTAGCCCATCATATTGATTGCTGCTCCCCTCCTGCTGCTGTCTTTGAGGATGAACAATATCAATGAATGATAGGTGACTGGATGACATCAATAGATTTGATTGCTTTGATTGAGAGGATCTCTATGAGCTTCCACAAACTGGCAATTAGAACTCATCTAGCTGGTGGCAGCTGACTTAMCCACCTTTTCCATATCCAAGTATATGTTATTAGGTTCAGTTAAGATTGAAAGTCTTTATACTGTTCTACCAACAACCACTAAGCAGTTTAAGTTCCACTACTAGTACTAGAAGTAGTACTACTAGTGGTACATGGTGAATGATTTGAAACATCTTGTCATTTTTGTTGAAATTTGWTTTAGTAGTATGAGTAGATAAAGTAATTTTGTTTTTTGAATAGTTGTTTCCTGATTGTTGCCATTCATTGTAAATGCCTTAGGATTGTTTTGGTGAAACATTCATGTGGTGCTAGAAAAGTGACTTCATTCAAGTCCATGTGAATGTGCTACTACTATGAAGTTATTATGATGTGTGAGTAGTACTGTACCATAAGTACTCTCCTGTTAATGAACAGCAGTTTATGGTATTTGTTCTTTGGTCTCAAGCACAGCAACTACAATGAATCATGCTTGATTTTGGTGCTAAAATAATTAACTACTACCAATTAGTAGTTCTAGCACTGGAATAAAATTAAAATGATGCTGATGCAACCATGACCACAGCACTTGTTGCCTTTGAAATATGACCAAAACACAAGAACACCTGTTCCAGCTCCATGCATAATGCACTGAAGTGGTTGTCATTCAGCTTTTGTTGTTGTTGACTTTGTGGTCTTTCTGTGCTCATACCAATTGACATGCTGACATCAACATGTAAAGGTTTTCACAGTATTGACTTCAAAAATTGGGTGACTTATTCATCTCCTCATGCGCATAAGAATGTTATTTTGATTAATCAAAGATCTTGCTCCTCTCTGATCCAATTCCTCTGGCACCCTTACCATCTCCTTGTGGCGATGTCCACCAGTTGCATACTAGGCAATGTAATACTTACATTATCCATAAACATGACAATATTAGGGAAATATTTCTTCTCACCAGTTGCATATACAAGAACAAGCAATGTAAATGCTGATAATGTCCAAAAACATGACATTAGTACTACTATGAGGAGGAAGAAAATTATACTCATTAGTCCCCCCAAACAATGAGTGTCTCACATATTCTGCTCTCTGAAGCCATGATGTTAGTCAACCCAACTGCCTGAAGCAGATATCACCTTCATTGCTCACCTTGTTCTAAAGCTTTTTATCACACCTCAATTAATACCTCACTTTTTACTAGTACACTACTGATGTCTACAAGAATAATGTAAAAAATATCCAGGATGTACTACCAGTACTAGTAGCTACTACTACTTCATTGTCTGCTTACTATAGCATCATGATCCATGCTTCCTGTCACTCAGTATTTCATAGTAGTTCCAAACAACAAGAACTGGATTCTATCACAAGATGTAAACTACTAGCACAAATGTACTATAACAAACATTGCAAGGAATAACTACTAGCACTAGTAGTAGTAAACAAGGAGGGAAAAATCTGAACCCCCTGACCAACCACCCCCTAGGTACAGTTCTCTGACATCAAGCATTGTCTATCACAAATTTTTTATGACAATCTACTAGTAGTATGTCATCTTGTCATTCCCAGCTCCTCTAGGTTGTTGTACTCTGTTCCAGTGTGACAGTTCTGGCTTTCCTTGTACTACTACTAGTACTAGTAGTAGCGCCTTGTCTCTGCTCATGCTCACAGTACTAGCAAACCCACCACCAACTTCTTGTTCTGTACCAGCAGTAGTACTTTTCTTGCGTGTACAGATGGTCTGCTTGCTGTGATGGTTTGAATCATAGCAGGTCATGTTTATCATTATGCTGTATTGGTTCTGCTTACTACAACTACATCTGCTGGTGGTTGTGTATGATGCTCCTAGTAGTACTAGTACTAGTAGTAGTACTAGTAGTACTACTAGTAGTAGCAGGAGGAGAAGGACAACTAGAACTACTAATGGTAGTGATTTATGCACCACACAATAATGACAAAAGCTAGTATTTCTTGACCAAAAATCACTTTTGAATCGAAAGTTGAGTCAGTAATACTCCCCAGAGGAAGAAGGTACTGCCCCTCAGACAAGAAACTTAAGGGAACCACCCAATAATAACCTGCCTCGAGGACAGGAATAGCTTCATTTTTCTGTTGAAAAAAGACGAAGCAACGGATGGAATGAAACAAACGCCACCGTTGGTTTCGTAGCACGAAAGAAATTAGTATTCGTATCGGGCTTTAATTTTGTCTGTTTGATTCGTAACGGAAATCGCGCATTACATGCACTAAGTACTCTATTCAAATCAAATGAACAATAATAACGCACGAATGTGGATATAAGAGCGGACCGACCACTTTTACTCTTGCAAACTTGTCTCTTCGACCAGAATGACGGCGGACGTTCAATTTGATCGCGTTTGGACCGAATTGAAAATATCGTCGGTTAACGACAAAACGACTCCACCCTGTGTGTGGACGCTGTAATGCGTTGTGACGAAGCCGTGCAGGTGTCCTCAAGTAAATATTTAAAAATGCACACGATAGAATCAGTGAATAGTAACGGAACCCGACCCAACCAGCCCAAAGTACATCTTCTCCGTGCCGTTTCACACGGCACAGTCCGCAATCAACAGACTAAAAAGGTGTCCGCCAACGAGCGCTGCCCAAAAGCACGGTATTGTCAATTCAAATCCAAAGGACCGGAAGAACATTCACACCGTGACTTGGTATCCCGAATTCGTGATATGTTGTATTGATATAAACTCATTCAATTACATCAATCCCACCCTATAACCATACGACACGATATCCTGATACCATCGAGTCGAGCTGAGAGGGTTGTTTGTAGATGCTTTCAATTCCTAGGAATTTTAGAGAGATTGAAACCAAGAAGCAAGCACATCAAGCAGAAGAAGAAACGAAGTGATTGGAAAACAAACACGAACCGCAACGAATTTCATTGATATCGAAAAGCTGCTCCTCTGGTTGAGTTAGAGTCCAGCCCAACGGTATTCGTTCGGTTCTAATTTCATTTCTTGTTTCCTTTCCTTTTCGGAGTTGAGCACAAACAATAGAAAAATTTGACACAAAATCGGAGCGATGGAAGTCAATCAACAAGTTTGGCTCCGGCGAGAATCCAGCCACTGGGGATGGGTTCCGGCCGTGATTGTCCGAAAGGAAGAATTGGGCGACGATATTGAACTGACACTCGTAAACGATAGAAGCTCGGTTGAAGTCGACAATGGTGAGCCCGATTACTTTTCGGACGAAGCAGAATTCACACAAGTGATGAGGATAGACAAGGACCAAATCAAGTCGGYCGATCACAACGACATAAAGCTGAGGAATTTGCCCGCCAGTTTTCTGGACGAGCTAGGTAGCTGTGGTCGAAATTYTAATGGAAAGTCTGAATCCAGACGCAAGTCGAATTCTATGACAGTGCGAGGAAGCGGGAGTCCGCGCATGAATGGGGATAGCATGCCCATTGGAGGTGTGGACGATTTGATTGGTCTCACTCATCTCCACGAACCAGCCATTCTTCATGCCTTGCGATTGCGGTACGACAGCGATATCATCTATACTTCCACAGGACCGATTCTGATTGCTGTCAATCCTTTCAAGCCTATGCCAAGTCTTTATCAAAGTGAGACTATGGAGCAATACCGAATCCAAGGAGAAAATTCGAAGAAGGCCAAATCGGATACCACCAATTCTTCCATCAAATCCTACAGCACGCCTCGTAAGGGCGTCCGCAGGGCTGCCACTGAACAGGATACGGGAAGACTAGCTCCCCACGTGTATCAAACTGCCGATGACGCCTATCGACAAATGCTGCATGGATTGGACAATGCGAAAATGATGGAGATGAAGCAACCAAATGCGAAGATGGGACTCAAACGTGGAGAGTCTAGAATCGAGGATTCTTCTCCCTCGGATCAGTCCATTTTAGTCAGTGGGGAATCTGGTGCGGGAAAGACTGTCACTACCAAAATAGTTCTTGATTATTTTGCCATGCTGTCTAAGAAGCGATCTGATTCTGATGGCAACCGTCGAACCAGTGGAGGGAAGCGCAACCAAAGTGTCTCCATCGAACAGCAGGTCTTGCAGTCGAATCCCATTCTCGAGGCGTTTGGTAATGCTCGGACGATCCGTAACGACAACTCGTCCCGGTTCGGAAAATATATTGATATCTCTTTCACCTCTAAGGGTAAGCTGGTGGGCGCATCGATCGAGACATACCTATTGGAAAAAGTTCGCCTTATCCATCCAGGACCGGGAGAACGGAACTACCACGTCTTTTACCAATTTCTTAAAGCCGCTAATGCCTCTGATCGCCAGGACTTCTTTTTGAACTCGAAAACCTGTCGAGACTTTAGGCTCTTGTCGGATTCTGGAACTTTTGATCGCCGAGATGGTGTTGACGATTGCGAGACACACCACGAGATGTTGCAGGCCATGGTAAGTGCTATATTTTAGTTGTATATTGCTTCCGTTTCCTTTGGCACATTGCTTTCACTTACTCACTGTCTCTCACTAATCGGGATTATAGAAAACGATCGGGTTTTCGGAAGAGACCGTTTACTCTCTTATGAGACTGGTGTCGGCTATTCTCTTTGCCGGGAACATGAGTTTCACCCCCAGCCAGGATGGCGAATCGTGTAAACTTGACAAGACTAAGGCAGCCTTGGCATGCGCCGCTCTCCTGGGCATCACATACGATGGTCTTGCTACTGCTTTGACGAAACGGTCGATCAAGGCAGCCGGCGAAACGGTGATGAAATTGTTGACGATCGAAGAATCAGGAAAGGCTTGCGAGGCTTTGATCAAGGCCGTCTACGGAGCTGCATTTGATTTCATCGTCGAGCAGGTAAATGCCAGCATCCAAGCCAAGTCGGAAGCCAGACGAAGTCTTGGTGGTTCTGGTGATCGAAAAGCAGCTGCATCCATAGGGGTGTTGGATATCTTTGGATTCGAGACCTTTGAATACAACTCCTTCGAGCAGCTTTGTATCAATTACACCAACGAGGCCTTGCAGCAACAATTCAACCGATATGTGTTTAAACTGGAGCAACAGGAATACGAGAAGGAAGGGATCATGTGGAAATTTATTGAATTCCCCGATAACCAGGATGTATTGGATCTAATTGATGTCAAGCACACCGGAATCATGGCGCTATTGGACGAACAATGCATGTTGCCCAAGAGCACAGACAATAAATTCACTCGTTATTTATACGCGAGATGCGATCGTCATCCGCGATTCAGTGCGTCTTCCGCCCAGCGTGTAGATTATGTCTTCTCGATTGAACACTATGCAGGATTGGTCGAATACAGCACTGAGGGATGGCTTGAAAAGAACAAGGATCAGCTTCCGGCAGCGGCCTCTGATCTCATCAAGAGTTCCGACTTCGAGTTGCTTCTCGATATCAATCGCTTTATCAGAGCTGAAGACCGTGGTGGGCGTGGAGCCGTTGCGACGAAATCGGTCAGTTTCCAGTTCGCAAAACAGCTTCGCACTCTCCGTTCTAGAATTGACATCACCGTTCCACATTACATCCGCTGTCTGAAACCAAACGACGAGTTATGCCCGGATTATTTTGAACCAAAAAATATTGTAGAGCAGCTTCGATGTGGTGGTGTTTTAGAGGCGGTCCGAGTGAGCCGTGCTGGATATCCAACTCGATACCCCCATGACGTTTTTTCAGCTCGGTACTACATCTTGGGCAACCGCCATAATTCTTCACCTTCTTATTCACCCGCCTTAAATTCAGCGCAAGGACCCGAGGAACTCAGAAAACTGATTTCGAAGATTTCTTTAGATTTGTGGCAGATTGATCATGACATTTATCTCGCACAACAAGCTTTGGAGCGAAAACGTCGAGAATCGCATCAGTTCTACGACGAGGTAGTAACAAAACCACATCCCACTGCTATTGGAAACTTGTTGACGGGACAAAAGAGAACTTCCAACCTGGCAGCTACCCACAAAGACAAGAACTTGGTGGTCGAGTCATCGGCAATGGCACCAGAATTCCAGCGCAAGCAATTACGCAAGACTCTAACAAATGTCCACAAAGTACCACCAGGTGGAAAGAAGGCCAAAATGAAAAACCATCGTGTCATCCGACCCGAATCGCGGGAAGATTTCTTGGCACTAGATTTCCCTTCCAGGTGCGCTGTTGCTGGACTCCAGCTTGGGCGCACCAAGGTCTTTTTGCGAAGAGAAGCGTTCGATCGTATTGAAGGCCTTCGGTCCGAAAAGTTTTTCAATGCGGCTGCAATGATCCAAAAGATCGTGAGAGGTCGCCAGTGCCAAATGTGGTACGAAGATATGCGTAGTGCTGCTATTATGATTCAATGTTTCATGCGAATTAAGATCGCCGAACGAAAACTATCGGCAACACGCCTTCGAAAGGCAGCCGTTGCCATTCAATGCGCATGGCGGGTCTTTGTCTCACGTATGTATGTTTTCGAAATGCAACTGGCACGTCGTACGGCGGCAGTCATCATTCAGCGTCAGTGGAGGCTCTACAAAAACGGGCCGGTCATACCCACCGAGGAAGAAATTATTTATTGCATTACTCGAATTCAAGCTATGTACCGTGGCAAGGTTGGTCGTGTTCGCTTTGCATTCGAGCAACAGAAACGAGAACGAGAACATCGTATGCGTCTAGAAGAAGAAGAGCGCCAAAAACGAAGAGAGCAGAAAGAGATTGCTCGACAACGACAGCGTCATCAGCAAGAGGAAGAACGGAGACGGCAGGCCCAAAAAGCTCTCTCACCCGTGAAGGAGCAAGAGCCGGTAGTACGCGAACGACAACTGACTCCTGTGGTCCAAGAACAAAAAATGGTCAACTACGATTCAGCTCGACTCGAAGATTTGTTCCACGAAATCACTGAAAACAACTGGGCGGTGGTGGAGAATATATTGGACAAGCAGCCTGAACTTGCCGAAGCGGAAGACCCAAAGACCGGAGAAGTGGCTTTGCACAAGATTTCGCGTCAATCTTCGGCCTGGACATTGCTTATCGACATGGTTTTGGTTTTGTACCCAAAGGCTCTGATCCACAGAGACAGAATGGGAGCTCTTCCTATCCACCATGCTTCCGCCCACGACAATCTCTCGGCATTGGAGATTATATACAGTGCTTACAAGGAAGGCATTAACGACACTGACAAGATGGGACGTTTGCCCATTCACGTGGCTGCCAATTATGATGCAGTTGATGCCATCAAGTTTCTTTTGTCAATGTCTCCCGAAGGAGCTTACACCATGGTCTATCGCCCACCCCACAATTCGGGTGGGGGACTGCCTCTTCATATTGCCTGTCGCAACCACGGATCGATAGGCGTTATTACGGCTTTGCTAGCGGAGAACTTTGCGTCGGCAAAGCGCACTGACGAAAACGGAGATCTTCCCCTTCACTTGCTACTGAGATGCGGCGAAGTGGTGGATCCTGTTGTCGTCAAGACCTTGTTGACGTGTTTTTCTGGAGCAGTTTCACGGACCGATATGAATGGGGACCTACCTCTCGCGATTGCTATTAAGCATCAATGCACGCCTTCAGTGACTAACGCTATTTTGATGCATTTCCCCGATGCTGCCGCTGTTCTCGACAGCGAAGGCCACAGTCCATTACATCTGGCCTTCAGTCACAATGCCGATGATAGAACCCTCATGGGTCTATTAAATCATGCTCCCAATCTCGCGACGCAAGTCGACAAAAAGACCGGTCTTCTCCCCATTCAAGTCGCTACAGAGAAGGAGCATTCGCATTTCATTGTCCACAATTTGCTGAAGCGCGATTTACCCATCGACGTAAAAGAAAAGGTCCGGGCCCAACTCACGCCACACCACTACTCCTGGAACCACTTGGTCGCAAATACTGAAGATTTGTATTACCAAGTTGTCACGAAGGTTTTACAATCTTGCACCCAGCCTCAAGTATTAGCTTTGGCTCACATCGAAGGCCCCGATGGCAAGATTGCCCTAGCAGCTGCAACTCCTGTGTGCAAACACGAGATGCGAGTTATGCTCCGTCTTTTCAACACGCTGGAAGTAGTGAACCAACGTCCTGCTTATACTAACCCTGTAAGCGACACTCAAATCTTTTACGCTCTGAGGTACGATCCTCCTCCGCAAGCCAATGGTGGAGCATTCACCATCTTGCACGAAGAAAAGACCGACTCGCACCCTGGCGATGATTACGTGGAAGACTTTGACGATAATACAATCATGTCTATGGCCTCGAAGATAAGCACTCGATCTGCCCTGACGTCAAGGACACAGCACAGTATCGACKAGAAGCTTCGTTTGATCCGAAGGGAGAAGGGCCAACAAGTTATTGCTAAACTCACTTCAAAATCCGAAATCGTGGAACGAGAACTGAAGGTTCGAAAGGACTACCACTTGTCGAGACATTATGTACCCGCTGTAATTAGCGTTCACCACACTGTCCAGCATGCGGCCTATTCGGAAGCCATGGCCGAGCCTGGTTACTGTATCACAATGGAGGGAGCGGATACGACTGCAGAGAATCTCATGCTCGACATGCGAAAAAATGGAAAGCAATTCCCACAAAAGGCAGTGAAGAGAATTGGTATCTCGCTGCTTCATCTCCACGAACATGGTCTTGTCCATGGTGATTTTGGTACTCATAATATTGGAAAGTTCGGTAGTCGTTGGAAGATGTTGGGAGTCGGAGGAAGCATTCCCCTCAGAAGACCTACCGATCCTTCTCGTGGATTCTACCATCCACCGGAAGCGATCCGATTAGAACAAAGACGTGGGAACAATCCGATGGGTAAGAAGAGCTATAACGCGAGTGTCGTTTCAGTTCCTGCTCACCCCACGTACGACATTTGGGCTTATGGTGTCGTCTTCTACGAAGGTATTGCTGGGTTGCCGCTAGGTCCCTATGCCTGCCGCGGCAAGCGTCCCATGAGCACAAGCGAAGTATCAAAAATTGGATTGTGGGATGACAACAGTCTACGCAAGGCCTTGAGACATATTCCTGACGACGATAATGGTATGGCACGGGAATTGATCCGATTCATGCTCCATCCAGACCCTAACAAGCGAGCGACATCCATGAGACAGGTGTTGGAACATCCCTACTTTACTGCTACCCAACAAGCTACTTCCGTCACCGGAAACGATCATCATCAGCAACAGCAACGTCAGTACCAAGGACAAGACGAACGTTTTGCGAGTTTTGACCCCTTCCCGGTCGTCGAAGAAACTGCGCCTGAATCTTTCCACAATCGACAGCAGCCGATGACTAATCACCCAGAGGTACAGAAGACAGCTTCCAACTCTACTGATTACAGCATTGAGAACCGCGAAAATGGTGTTCGTGGACGTAGAAGCGGTGAGTCGATGAAGAGCAGCAAGAGCTTTGGTGGGTTTCGCAAGCTCAAAAATACCATCCGTAACGGAATGAGCACAAGCGGCAAGGAACAATTTTAATGAAGCTGATCAAACCACAAAAATTAATCACTGTACAAGCAGAAAGAATAATGTAGTTCGGGTGTCCGGAATTTGTGTGCGGAGTCCTGATACTACACACTAATTTGAGAAAACAAACTGCAATAGAAAATGTATTTATTTGAAACAATTGTGATTGCTGCTCCTATTGCTATAATTGTAATCATTATTTTTGTTGGTCGAAAAATCTCAAGGAAAATCGTCCTTTATAATATCACAACGGTCTGACACTTGAAGCTTCAGTTTTTCTGCTGCTGAATTTACATCATCTCGAAGAAGCCTTCTGGTCTCTTCCTTCTCGGAAGACAAAACCTCAGCGTAGAATTATAGAGATAGGAATAATAGTGTTCGGGTTCAGCCATCAATTATTCCGCAGGAGCTATAATTCACTCTCAATATTTGTTGTGTCCATCATAATTATAGATCACGCCTTACCAACTACCTCAATTCTTCTGCAAACAATAGCAACGCACCATGGACGAAGCTAATTACGACAATGAGGGGTATTATCTCAGTCATCGTGGGAGGATGATTTCTTCAGCGGTTACACCAACGATTCTTCGCGTTCCGAAACTAAATCGAACCATGACAATCTGTGGATCCCAACAAAGCTGCTTGAAACAAGCTTACTTTCTACCAGAGGTATTTTGCACGGAATGCGAACCGCGGATTGTACCAGACATTCGATTATAGTTCTTTCAACATTCCTTTACTGTCTGCAGAGGTCCAGGAGCCGAAATTCCGCAATCCGGTGATGTTTTCATACCATACTCATAAGACTTCTTGCGTCACTAACAGCTGTTTTGTGTCCGTCTCGAAGGAGCCATAGATGCTGTCGGTTGCGTATCTGTTGCTGTTGTGGAAATGCTTCTTCACTTGTGGTAGCAATCCTACAGCACACAGCACAATGCTTGTTTGCTAGATCCACTCATTCCACTACCCTTCTTGCCACATCGCAATCATCAACGCAAGCAACAATAGCTATTTACACAGCATATGATGCTTCTGTCCCTCTTATCGATTGAATCTTCTGTTTTAGGGCCGTCCTCATTGTTTTTTACTTACGGCCAGTGAGTCAGTAGGACTATAGCCGCAATAGGTATCCCACACGTCGTACAGAGCCAACTTGTACATGTGGGACGAGGCCCGCGTGAGTCTGTGTTTTCGTTTTCGGACCTTGGGCTTGCGGAGCCGATTGGAGGTATGGATTGGTGGGAGTTGGTCCAGCAAATTCACCACGACGTTGTGATCGTCGATGCGGGGCATGGATATCCAGTTTMTTTCCTTGGGAGGGCACTTTGGCGGCTTTGTCTCGCCGTTCACGTTGCTGTCGGCCGCGACGACTCCGCGAAAGACAAAGTCTCTTTCCCAGATTTTGACGGAGTGTCCCGTCACGGCAGACCGGCCGGTGCTGGGGTGCGATGCACCCCACTCCATTCTCAGGCCGCCTGTGCCCCTGTGCGCTTCGGCGTTGTCGTCGTCCAGTCCCAGCAGCTCGTTCAGGACGATTTGGTCGTCGCACATCGTTCCGCATTTTTCGACGAGCAGCTCGACAAAGGCAACAGTTGAATTTGTCGCCCGAAGCCAGCTCATTCCCCCGTTGACCGTGAATTCTCTCTCGTAGGCATGGAGGACGTCGTATCTCCAAAAGTCGTCGACCCGACCACCGGTACGATCAACTGCATTAGTTTCGGTATCAGKTTCTGTATCAGTTTCGTTATCGGTATCACCGGTTGAAAGGTACTCCTCGTCGCCGCTGCTGGTATCGTTGCCGTTGCCGTTGCCGTTGCTGTTGTCTTCGCTGGCACGCTCCCCACCCCCGATGTCTAGGTATCTGTTGACGAGGGCGTCCACGTCCATCAGGAGGATCGACGTCCCCCCCCTGAGCTGGTCGAGCAAATAGTGCCACCTCCAGGCAAAGAGTTGCTCGCGGGCCTTGCGCTGGCGCTTTGTGCGTTTCTTGATCCTGGCGAGTTTTTCCGGTGGGGGGGGAAGGAAGTGTTTCTCGAAGCGGTAGTAATAGCGAGAGTCGTCGCTGGCGTTGGACTTGGCACCGTCGAGGTCGGTGCCGTGGCTCTTCTGGTTGCCCTGCTGGTGGTGATCGTTGAGCGTCTGTAGAAAGTCCGCCGTGGCCTCGTCGTAGACCACGATCGTGTGTTCCGCGTATCCGAGGTCGGAAAGGCGCTGGTACCACTTCACCGCAAGTTCCTTGTAATTGAAGTCGGCAAAGGCAACGATCTTGTAGCCGCCGGGCCGCCCCTCTCCGGAGCGGGAGTCCGGGTAGCCGGACCCTCCCTCCCACCGGACCCGATCTCTCCCGGGGGAACCGGAGGGTTTCGGGCCGGTTCCGACGCCGGTGCCGGCGGCCAGGACCGGCACGTGCCAGGAATCGTTGGGGATGCTTCCGGCCCTGGCGGACGTCCGGGTCCGGCGCACTTGGTTGCTACCGCCGCCGTTGCTCGACGCAAGATCGGTACCGACCATGGCGGACGTCGAGACAATGGACGGCGGAAGAAGCCCGGGGACCGGGACGGTTCCGAGGGGACCGGGGCCGGCCATCGGAACCACCGCGCTCCCCCTGGCCCGGGTGGTCCGGACCCGAACCGAGTCGTCGGTCGCAGAGGTTGTGGTAGTGGTTGTGGCAAACGGGGACAAACGAACCCCCGGGGGGGCGGCCGTATCGGCGGTCCCCTTCCCCCCGGTCGGGGGGGTCTGCCGCGATCGCCTCGTTTCGTCGTGGATGCGGTCCAGCAGGCTCTGGTGGTGGTCGTTTTGTTCTTCGGTGGATGGCCGCAAACCGCTCGCTTGCGGCTCCCCGAAACGCAGGGGCGGCGACGATTCGTCGCCTTCCTTTCCGTGGAGGCGGCGGAGGGAGCCGAACTGGAGGCCCAGAAAGGGAAGGATCGCCACGGCGAACAGGCCCAGTCGCAGGAGCGACAGGAGCGAAAGGGAAGGGGTCCGGGACATGTTGCTTCGAACGATGCGATACGGTCGGGCTCGGCCGTCTTTGCTGGCTGGCGGGGGGCAGCGCTGCTGGGCGGGGGGGAAACGGTCTGCGGCAGATCGATCCGGTATCGTGCCGAAAGAAGGGGTGTCGGAGCAAGCGTCGGTGTCGTCGTCGAGTCCTCTGGTGAGTGCAGCTACCGCACCGTAGGCAGGCATGGAAAGCAGAGCGGATGCTGCAGTCACCGTTGTTTTGTTTGGTGGCTGGCTGCGTGTGTCTCCGAAAGGTCGCAAAGGGTGTCGGGATGTGTGATTACTAGTAGTACTATTCATACGCAATAGATCCACGGTACGGTACGGTAAGGTACACTCACTTCGTATCTGCCACTGGAGTGCATGTTTTTATTTTTTTGCCAAATTTTGTGTCGATACGTCCGTTTTCGGGAATGCCTTGGCGCACCTCTGTCGTGCACCACAATGCACGTCTGGGCCGAAGACAACACCGTGATTCGTACTAGTAATTCGTAATTCGTAATGCATGGATTCTAATAAGTATGTACGTACTATGCATAAGTACGAGTACGTACCTTCGTGTTCGAAAATTTCATCGTACAGCCGACAGCCGTACGTATTCGTACCATGCTGCCGTACGGTACAAGCGTAAAAGCACAAAACAAAGGCACTTSCAAACGTACGTACGATACGTACGTACCGTAGGCTGGTTCGCATCAAGAAACCTCGCCATCTCTCCCAAAAATTCTTCCCCCGGCACCCAAAGAAAATGAACCACCATGTGCCGGAGGAATGAATCCCGTGACCGTTCGGCGGTCGGAGTTGTGGGTTCGGCGGCAGCTTGTATGTACGTGAGGCAGTAGGAAACGAAGGACGAGTACATACAGTACCTACTAGGGGAGGACTACACGCAAGATGTTACGTCATCGCCGATTGGCCAAGGGTTCAACCACGGGCCGAGGCAGACCAATCAAAAAAGACGTCGCCCCACGGTTGCACCCGAACTCCGTACCAGAACGAGGCAACACTCGCCGGATTGGGGGAACGGCACCGCGGTCCACCAACCAAAACGCACGGAGGAAGAAAAGTTCGTCGTTTCTCCGTCGAAATTTGGCTCCGCGTCTTGTGTTTCCGCGACACATCACGAAACCAAAACACCCAACCCAACCCAGCGTGCCAAAAAATCGAAATTGCGTCACGGATCGTGGAAGTTGTTCGATCGAGGCTACAAGAACGGTAGGTTCTCGTACCTAGATCACGTTCCACTGTACAGCACACTAAGGTCCCGTACCGGTACGTACGTACGACACGGTACGATACGATCGATGCTGTCAAAACAGAAAACATAAAAACATACACACCGCCCACAACTGTTTTCTTTCATAATACACTATTTTCTATTTTTGTTTCAATCACTACGTACCGGTACGAGCACTGTATCGATCCATCCCTTCACCGCTCGAAACCAACCAACCAACGAACCAACGAAGCAACAAACAAACTACCTAGCCAGCTAACCAGCTAACGCACGCACACGATCCGTCCTCCCGACATGGTGGCCGCGGTGGCAAGCGGGCCAACCAGCAACGCTTGCTCCGGGGGCAAGGATGTTTCGTCCGAGGCCACAACGACGGCGATGCTGGTATCGGTGTCGGCTTCGGTGTCGCTTTCGATGTCGGCTTCGATGTCTTCCGCAACCGTCCGGAAAGAAGGAGGGCGGCCGGCGTCCCCCGATTGCGACACGGCATGCAAAAACCGAATCCGTGTGGTGCTTCGAGGGCCGCGGAACGAAAGCGAAAGCGAAACCGAATCCGAAAGCGAGAATGCCGGCAACGGCGCGGTGTCTGCGGCGATCGATGACGGAGCAACGGCGATGCCTTCCTCTGCACCGGCCAGGAAGAACCTCGAGGCAGCTCTTACCAATAGTTGCTCGAAGGGTGGTTCTGGTGACTCTTTGTCTTTGTCGTCGTCTTTGTCTTCGTCTTCGTCTTCKTCTTTTCTCTCTCCACCCATAAAACCAGCACACACCGAACGGGAAGAGGAAGAAAACTACGGGCTTGCCGCATCCGAGTCTTTGTCCGAATCGGGATCCGGCCCGAGCTCCCCCCTCGCGCCGGCGGCTCGCAGAGGAGAAAGGGCTCCAGGGGTTCTGCCCCGCCCGATCGAAGCCTCCCCCACCCCTCGCCGTCCCGCCCGATCGATTCTGCGAAAACGGACGAAGGAAGGGGAGGCGCCGTTTCCGGCGCCCTCCCCCAGGCCGTGCACGGGCCGCAKGGTCGGGGGCCTGTGGAGCCCGTCCGTCTCGGTGGTGGGGGGGGACGGAAGGGAGGCTCGAGCGGAGGCTCCGCGGGCCATGGAGCAGGCGCCGCCTCCGCCGGTGCCCCTGCCCCCGGCGGGTTCGCCGCTGGACCGCTTGCGGGGGGAGACCCTGTCGCGCGTCCTGTGCTACCTGCCCCTCGCCGATCTGCTGCGGGCCGGGAGGCTTTCCCGGCGGTGGAGGCACGAGGTCCACCACCGGGGGAACGAAAACGAAAACGAGAACGAGCACGAGACCGACCACCCGGCCGGGGGGTACGGCCCGTTGCCGTTGGTAAATCCCTCTCCGGCACCCCGGGGCACGGCGCATCGCCACAATCGCTGCCGCTCCGGCGGCGGCCGCCACCGTTTGTGGGAAAAGGTGGACGCCACTAGCTTCCTACAAGAAACCTACGAACGATTCCTAGGAATCGGGAAGAAGCGAATGCTGTTGCAGCAGCAGGAGCAGCAGCAAGAGCTCAGACAATCGCCACCGGCAACGTTGATACCAACATCGTTGCCACCACAATCAAGGAAGAAAAAACCCAAAAGGAAATCGATTGTCGATCCTTCCGAATGGGCAAGAATCCAAACCGGACTGGCCCTGGGGAAGGTTCTTGGCACCCGGACCACCAAAGTACCGTCACCGGGATCAGATCATACCGGGGAGACCCCCTCTGTCTCGATAAGATCGCTGGTCCTTGGAAACATCGGGAACAAGCTGTCGGCGGATCGACTGGACGATTTCCTTCCAACGGTGGTCTTGTCCAACCTGCGGGAGCTTACCCTGACCAACTTTGAGGGTCTGACCGACACCCACGTCCACGTGCTTCTGCTTAGCACGACAACAATGCTCCTGGGTGCCGGTGCCGCCAACTGCAAACCCGGGAGGAGGAATCTTCCCCTGGGTTCTCCGAACCAAAACCAGAGACAACCGCATTCCACCGGGAGGCAAGGGAACCAGTGGACGAGGCTGGTTCTCGATGGCTGCCACGGGCTAACGAGCCACGCGCTGACCTCGATTGCCAAATTGTGCAGCCAGGACCACCTGAGGGAGCTGTCGCTGCGGGATTGCCCGGGAATCGATACGATCGCCCCGCTCTCGGAGCTGCTGGTGACCAAGCTGGGGGCGAAGAAGGCAACCACGGCGACAACTATGGCGACGACAGCAGCGACAACAGCTACAAACACAAACACAAACACGCATTCCCACCGAGACGAATTACTGCGTCCATCGCCGGTACCACTCTCTGCGCTTGTCCCTGCAGAAGCCCTCGGTCGCAAACTCCGGGACTTCAGCGATGGCGAATGTTCCACGCGTGCTGCTAGAGTGCCGGCCCCGATGGCCCGGCTGTTCGAAACGCCCCCCGCGGCTTCCGTGGAGACCACCCATCGACGGGGGAGGGGGTCACCGCCTTTGTCGTCCTCCACACTGGCATCGCTGTTTGATCTCCCCGGGACGTCCCCCACCCGACGGAAGACCGCCGAGTCTCTGGTCCTTCTCCCGCCCCCGCCACCGGTTCTGGCCCTCGGAGAGAGTGGTGCCATCACTTCGGCCGGTTCCTCGCCGCTGCGGTTGCGGCCACCGCCGCGCTTGCCGTCGGACCCGCTGTCGCACCGACGTTCCTCCCCGGGCTTGGAAACGCAACCCCTTTTGCTGTCCTGTGCCGACGGCGTGACACCAAAACCCTCTCCCCCACGAAAGCACCAGCTTGTCCCAGAAAAAGAAACTGCCGCCGCTGCTGCTCCTTCCATGGCACATGCATCGCGGAGATACCACCGACACAAGCAGTCCTTGTCCAAGGAAGCCGCTTTGCCGTTTCCACCCGGTTTGCTCCCAAGCAAAAACAGAGACGAATGGGAAAGGGTGTGCCGGCTGCATTCTTTCGCCCCGACGTTCGAATGCCGCGACCATCGCTCCGATAACCGCGCAAACGGCAATCCCGGCCCAAGCACGGCGTTGAATGACGTCCGACCGCCGTCGTTCTTCGGGGAGGGCACGACGACGGTGGGAAGCCTGGAAGCCCTGGATCTACGCGGAACCGCCGTCCGACCCAGGGAAATAGTCGGTGTTCTCTGGTCTCTGACCCACCATCGACCGAGGAAGAAACCTTTGATGAGCGTCGGGGCGAGAACCTGTTTTCCAAACCAGAGCGACAGCAACACTGCTTCTGCCTGGTGCCGTGTTTGGTTCGAGGAATTGCACCTGAACGGTGGCCTTGACTACTACTCCTGCCGCCGCCGGAACGAAATCCGGGTCAATCTCCGCACAGGCGCAGGGGAAGACGCAACACACGCAACGATCGACGCAGCAGGTGCATGTTTTCTCCCGGCAACGCGCTGGTGGGACGGTGCTATGGCCGAGTCCGATAGCTGCCCCGGTGGCACGGGCTGGACCGGGGAGGACCGGAGAGATCTCGAGGCTTCGCTGGCCATGGACGAAATGGAGCTGAGGATTGGTGGCGAAAAAGCAAAGAAAAAGAAAATAACACGCAATTGCTACCAATTACGAATGCAACGCAACGCAATACAATAACGCAAATCGAGCGAAACGCAAGGAGCCTAGCACTTGTGGAAAGTCAATCGTGCTCCGTTTTGTGCACTACACTTAAATTTAATTTACGACACACTTCAGAACTTCGTACGGCACTAAAACAATCATAAAGACTGCTATGAACAAATACATAAACACATAGACAAATACTTATTCTCATAGATACTTATTCTCAATGGAGGTATTCAATATTAAACTTTGAATTGACTCGATTGATTTGGTAACAAAAAAATTACTTAATCTGAACAGGTGGTGGAAAATGCCAGATCTGAAGGAGGGCAACTTACAAAGTATGCAGACAAGGAAGGGAACATTCTTTATACGGACTTTTCAGGAGTAGATGGATAGACTGGGTCTGAAGAGCAACCAAGAGTAATGAGCATTGCTGGATTCAAAGCCATGAACACAGATGTTAACTTCTGCAAAGCAGTAATATCAACAAGGGAGCACTTCTTGTCATAGATTCTAGGAATGAGGCACCAGTCAAGAAGAAGAAGGAGATACAGCACAGTATGGTTTCTTTTCAATTCAATGGGAAAGGTTGGTTTCCTGTCTATTAGACTTCAAAACTTGTACCTCTGAGGAAACCTTTTTCAAACTCAATGTCCTCCCTTCTGATACCTAGAATGCCTGTACGAAAGACCCTAATGAAAAGAATAAATTAGTTTTGATAAATGTCTGCTACTGGAATTGAACCCCCCTGATGTTCCTATTGGACTTTTGCTGATGAGTGGACCCAAATAATGTTCCAAAATCAAGTGAGAAGAGATTCAGGTTACAATGTAGTAGAAGAACTAGTAGGGTTCTTGTAATTCTGTACCAGAGTAGCTGATATTAGTTGTTTCTTGGTCATACCTCCTCTTTTTGGAGCTGTCACCCCTTTTAGAAACTAGAAGCATTCTTCTCCATAGTAGAAGTGGTGCACCTCTTCTAGTTGTAGAGATTAAATAAAATATGAAGATTTTTAGCTGATATTAGTAGTCTAGTGGTAGTTGGCAATCATCAGGGTATGAAGACTTGGTATGATGTCCATCCACTGGTAATATGTGATACAAGTAGTAAAGGTGTCTAGCCACTACCAGACTGAGAAATATGACACAAAAATTGACACTCTTTCATCTCATGATAGTAGTAGTAGTAGTAGTAGTAGTAGTAGTAGTAGTAGTAG